CAGGCTGCTTCAGGGCCCGTGTAGCCTTCTGTCTTTGGGGTAGGGCTCTCCTCTCCCCGCAGCGAGGGCATGTGTGGGGAAGGCTTTGCGGTGAGCGGGCTTGTCTCCACAGGAGCGGGAGTGGAGGGGATCCGGCGAAACGTGGGAAGTCTTTCATGTTTTTGGAGCGAAGGTTCGGCTGCGGGGATCTCGGACCACCTTATGCCTTGAGGAGAGCCTCCGCGCCTCGCTTTTAATGAGTTAGAAGTCCATTTGCCTTCCCAGTCTTGTCAGCCAAGCGTAAGCAGGCTCCAAGGAGAACTTCGGAGTTTTTCTCAGGTCGTGGGAAAATGAAAAGCCGTAAAATGTGGCTTTGGGGGGTAGTCTGGGAACACAAAGGCTTATTTTTATGCCTTCCTCTTCCCCTCCGGTTCAAATCAGGTGATAATGTTTACCGAGCCAGAGCTGAAAGTCAGGTAGAAGACGTGGTGTGGTCCGTGCCGGGATTGGGAATGGCACCGTAACTCTCCTCGGCGAGGAGAAGCTGCGACTTTCCTGTTGCTGTCTCGCGTGCAGCTGCAAACCAGCTTTGTTTTTTGACCTCGTTTCTTTTTTGATCGCTTAAAATTTCCACCTCAGTCTTTTCCTGGAGGATCTTCCGAAGCTTTTAACCTTCTTCCCTCCCGCTGGGACTGATGAAGGGAGCTGTCCTGCTGCCAGAGTCACTGGGCATCCGTATTTGTTTGTGGGTTCATTCCCTGATGAACGGTGACATCTTCCTGTTGATTTTGTTCCGCAGCAGAAATTTCGGTGCTGTTACTTGCCAGAATCTCTCGTTAGATTGCATAATAGCTCCATTTTCTCCCTCTGCCGTTTCCTGTCATCCTTGGATTTGGAGGCTTGAAAGCTAGTCAGTGCCGAGAGGAGAATTAAAAAAAAAGGAAGAAGCGTCTAGACCTTCGCAGGTGGCCAGGCTGTGACGGCGTTATGTTCAGCCGTGCCTGCTGGCCGGTAAAACGTTGCACGGATAGCCGGACTGTCTGGCTGCTTTGCGTCGGCGCCAGATAGGAACACGCAGAGGGCAAGCGATGCAAGCGATGCGAACACCAAACTTTGCAGAGTCCTTTCTCTGCGTCGTGGGGTTACGTTATCGACGGGAGCTATGTGGTATCGATAACCTCAGCTGCGCTTATCGGCGCGTATGGCGTGTCTTTCCTCGTAACATCCAACCGCCTCGGTCCCTCTCTGTTTTGATGGTTTTGGGATCCCTGATTGGGCTGTGGCTTGTGAGTCTGTTTCTGTTTAGCGCGGCTGTGATCTCTTCTGCAATATTAGTCGCTGCGTGCAGTCTCTCAGGGAGAGAGGAGTGAGAAACCAGAGAGAGGTCAGCAACCCTGAGGTTGCCGGAGGATGTGGGAGAGAGCTGCAGCTTGGCCTGAAGTATTTACTTCTAAATGATGATGATGGTGATGGGCGGGGGGGTGGGATGTAGACCTGCTGCTCCCC